ATCATAAGAGGTAACAGTGTCTGAGTGAAAAGGAAGGTGCTGATATGGCTGGGAAAGGTTTGAGTCGAGGAATTCCAGCCAAGCTTCTGTGCTTACTTTATCATCACAACCTCGGAGACACCTGAAATACATGTAAATATGAGCACGCGAAGATAAAAACGTACGTACCATCCTGGTCGGTGTTGTAAGGACCTGTCAAACTGTGGAATGTTAGGTAACGTCCCAAGCAATGCAGGATACGCACAAAGCCGCGTTATTAACTAACACAACTTCAATTGATGCTGACTGACGGGTGACCATATGACTCACCAAGAACATCCAGCCTCTTCTCTTTGCTCAGAAAGTCCTCTTGCAGCTTTCTTGGCTAACCTCGGGTCCTTCAAGTCGAAGGGAGCCAGATGACTTGCCCTGACCCAATACCCGCTTCCGTCATGCTCTTGATCGCGTCCAACGCCTTGCTTTCATTTCTTGCAGCAAGGTATACCTTGGCGCCTTTCCTAGCGAGATGTAAAACGGTCCAATAGCCGATTCCTGTACTACAAATCTCCTCAACTTTCGAAAGTTACGAGCTCAACACCACTCACTTTCCGCCAGTAACAATAACCACTTTCCCCGTGAGGTCAAGCAAAGACGCGCCAGCAGGGTAGAATGTCCACCTATCCACTATACCGTGGATGACATCCATGATGGTGAGAGCACAAGTTTGCCACGTGAAGCAACCAAGCTATAGGATGATAAACAACGGAGTAATGGCGGCTACGACTTACGATGTCCTATATATCCTGCTCCTGGCGCATTACATTAGTATAGTAGGATGAATTAATCATATCATCCGCAGTGAATGTAGCTGCAGCTGAGTCACTGTACAACGCAGTTTCGCAGTTTCAGCATTTATACAAGCCCGCCGAATAAGCCGATCGGTAAAACGGGAAAGAGCATGCACTTATTCCCGGGGCGAGAACACCCAGAGATACGATATGCGAGTTGTCCATGCTTTGTTCAAGTAAACCTCACACCAGCCTACCCAGTATTTGTGTGGTCTCACGTCCCTATGCTTCTGACTTTTCTTCCTTCTCATCTCCCAAATCCGGCGCAGTTCAATGGGAGCCAACTGCGACGAACTGCGCCGTAAAGAGTCAGTCATGGTCACTCTAGCTTATGTGGTAGTCGACAGCATGGGCCGTACCTGGACCATAGTCATCAACTTACGCTATCTTTACATTCGCCCTGCTTGAAGCCTTGATTTGACGCGCCAGCCCCACCACATTGGTGCGACGGAATGTATAGTGACGGATCTCGACTCGACTCACCTATGTAAAGGCATCACAGTAAGTACTCGCAGTCGGTGAGCAGAAAACAGCGATATTAAACAGCAAGAGAAAAGAAGAAAAGATTATCACTGGAAGACTCTTGGGTTAGGCAAGTGCACCAGTATCATTCGGGTGTATTTGCAGATTTTGAAGAAGATGGTCATCACGGAACGATGGAAACATGCGGGCCGGAGGCACTCGTCGAGAGTATTGCAATCCCATGATTAAAGGAACACTACGAAGCATTGGAACTTGCGGCATCGTGTGAGAACGCCCCTGCCAAGCATTGGAGTGGGCCCGCCATTTTAGCCTATCCCACATCCCACATCCCACATCGTCCAATGCAGAAGCGGTTATCATCGCCCAGACTCCTCATTCGCGGTTTAGGATTGCTAATGCACCAGTATGCTTCGGTATAGTTAACTTCATACTAAATTGAAAAGGATGATACATTAGGATGGATGCAAACGAAGGTCATTGTCAGAACAGATGGGAAAGGGGACAATAACAACGCGCTTACTGACGTATAAGGATCCAGTAAAATGGTAGCTCATCGCTGGTATAGAAGTTTGCGAATTGGAAATTGAAGAGAGGGACACACTGATTATGTTCTAGCTTCGACAAAGTATTAATTCAACTTCACATAAGCTCTACAGCTATGCAGCAGAACGTTCGCCGCTACCCTCCACGTAGGCGAAGTGACAGAAAATTGCAGAACAGTCATAGCACTAAGAATGGTCAGCCAAGGGAATAGCTGCACCGAAATCCTTGTCAATTTTCCCCTTTAGAACTATTCCCTCTCATGTATCAGTCTGGACTGCTGAAGGTGGCAATGTCAGTTGTCATATCAAAAGCTTATCCGAAGGAACTTCTAACGAACAGTCGGCCATGCCTTGCAGGTGTAAATTGCGCTAGAAGCGCGACTATATGCGTCTATACACACGCCTAGATGATCCGGTAATGTACTTTTTGCCTTTGTCGTGGTAGATCCAAGTCGAGGCGTGAGTATCCAGACAGATCCACTGTCAAGGACGCGTAATATGGTGTCGGTGGCCCATGGATTGACGGTGAAAGCCCTTTCCAATATTTTGACAAGGATGTTAGAAGGAAAGAGTGCTGTTTTAGAGGAAATTCATGTATTGCTATATTTGTAACAGATTTTGTCGCAATTGCTACCCGCCCCGGCGGCTCGAGCAGCCGCTCCTTCCACCCATCGAAGAATTTTTATCGTCCCATTCAGTCGCCTCCACACAATGATGCAGAGCGCCATGTGTGGGTAGCGCCTTCGTTATCATCAAAACACGCGCTAATACCCTACTGAAGGTCTGGTTGCACTGTTTGAAATGATACCTGCTTCTCTGCATTGCTTACCATGCTTCCGCAAAGCCCCGATAACACACCATGACGACGAAAGGAGACTTGCCGAAGACAGAGGTAACATGCATGTTCTCAGTCCGTGGTTAATGACAATATTTCGGAAGTAGCAATGATGATATGTTGGCCAGCATGGCTCCCAACTGATGTACACTGGGCAACTGCAGTGATGCCGTCTGGTGGAGGCGGCGTTCTACACACTTGCTGAGGCGGGCTGTGAAGTTATTTTCTCCTTGCCTGGGATTCGGGTTATCTTGACTCTTTCTGGCTTGACATAATCTTCTCCTTCGGTTCTCAGGATCAGTCAGATGTCTCTTCTGGTTGTTCGATGTCAGAATCCATCGGTGCGATGAGTATCCGTTTGGATGGAGGAATCTTGCATTAAGGTTTTGCGGCGCTACGAACTTCGTCCCTTGACACCGCTCCCAGGACTCTGGCTCTGCACAATCCGCTTTTTGTATTGATTTAGCGCCATTTGGGTATCCTTCCGGTGTGTACTGTATGAAATTTCTTGTGGCGAAGGGGGCCGTGCGGATGACTGGCCAACCTGGCCAAAGTACGTCCAAAAAGCTGGTATATGGAGTAAAATTTCAAACGTTATTTTGCCCAGCGGACCAGATCCGGACTTGGCTTCATGAGATGTTCCCGGATCCGAAGCTTTTTAACTTATAACAATCGCGGCTTCCTGTTTTGCAAAGACAAACAAGTCCTCAACGTGCTCATAAAGGATGCTTGATACTGCTATCTAACCTTTCTACTTATACCACACCCTCCATTTATTCCGTTGCATTGGATCGCCACTTCCAAGTCCCCCTTTCCATCTTGCATCCTTCTTCCATGGACGCATTCAAATCACTTGTTCAACCTCTTGTAGGCAGTGCCGCTGGTTCCTCCGTCATCGACGGTATGAAGCTCGTTGTCCTCGGTGGCACAGTAGAAACCGCTAGACGGGTATCGAGCTCCGCTTGGTATGTAATACCCCGGGATCCCTCTCTTCATCCTGTAACATATCTGTGGCAATTTAGGTCGCATTTTGTCAACTGTGAGCATGCTCTATCCCTTCTAATTTCTTTCACCTCCGAGGCAAACACATGGACTCCGCGCTCCAAACTCACTCCACTGCACGCACGTCTCATGTCACTCTATTTCATCTTATTGCAATGGTGCATTTTTATGCCTGCAATAGTGCTTTGTATCCTCTTCACCCTATTCTTTCCTCGATCTCTCCCCTAGAATGCTCTGCGTTCGGATGTCGTACCGACGTCGATGTCGATATCTTATCATTCTTCCTCGTACTATTGCGTACTAATTGGACAATCTAATTTGTAGCCTTCTTTCTTACGGCACATTTTTCGGAGGAAGACTCCCCTTATGAGTGGCTTATGCTTTGGTTGTCACGAAGGCCAGAGTGGCAATGGTCTCGAGAATTTGAGACTACCACCCGTTCTTCCTCCGGTTTTGGACGGACAGCTGACAACTCCTTTGGTGACGAGGAGGACGATGCGGACGGCGACGACATACCGGGAAGGGTCAAGACGCGAGTTGTATTCCAGCCGACGTTCGACACTACTCATACTATTTTCTATGGGGGACACTGGCTACGCGTCAAGCGGGGCAGGAAGAGTGACGGGACTGGATGTGAAGTTCTCTCCATAAGGTGCGCATCCTGTCTCTACCATTTTTGCGCTTGTTAATTAGACACAAAGCGTGGTCGCCCGGAATAATACAATTTTGAAACAGCTTGTCCTCGAAGCTAAGCGAGGTTTGTACCCTCCCTGTACGATATAGATATTCAGTCTGACGCCGTTTTTTTAGAATTTGAAGCAGAGGCGGTCCATCGCATACAGATATACTTTGCGGATTTCTACGGGAGCTGGCGCTGGACGGACTCACGGCATAAACGCCCTATGGGGTCAATTGTACTTAACCCGGGCGTGAAGGAGATGCTCCTCAATGATACGCGGGACTTTTTAAAATCCGAGAAGGTGCTGCTGGTTTGTACATTACTCGTGAAAGCGCACTTACGGAGATTTGAATTGTAGTGGTACGCAGACCACGGCATTCCTTTTCGACGAGGCTATCTCCTCCACGGTGTCCCAGGGTCCGGTAAATCGTCCCTGATACACGCAATTGCCGGCGAACTCATGCTGGACATTTACGTCGTATCGCTTTCGTCCTCCTGGATCAGCGACAGTACATTAACGACATTGATGGGTCGTGTTCCCGCAAGATGCATACTCCTACTGGAGGACTTGGACGCCGCTTTCACGAGAAGCGTCTCGCGAGACAAGAACTCCAGTGGAAACCCTGAAGGGAATAGCGATGGGGATAATGATCAAAGTGATATCCCCAATGGTCCTCCCACCGCCAGCCGCAGTAGGAGACGTCAACGAGACCAGTTGTCAGAAGTAAACACGTTGAGTTTGAGTGGACTCTTGAACGCACTGGATGGGGTGGCGGCAGCGGAAGGCAGATTGTTATTCGCGTGAGTTTTCTCCCCTCAACGTTGCGCACACGTTGTGATCCGTATCTTTTTTTGGCTAGGACAACAAACCATCTAGAGCGCCTCGATCCTGCACTCTCTCGACCAGGTCGTATGGATGTCTGGATAGAGTTCAAGAACGCGTCCAAATGGCAGGCGGAGGCACTGTTCCGCAATTTCTTTCCATCTCTGGAAGAATCTGCATCTTCGAAAGGTAGCTCCACGCCAAGTGACTCCGAGGACGATGAACTTCAAGGTATAGATTCACCTCCGCAAACACCGAGTCCAGGCTCATCGACGTTGTGGTCGCTTTCCCCTTCATTTTCATCGTCGTCCACATCGCTATCTCTTTCACCGAAGAAAAACGTCAACGCCAAATCCAGAGGCCGGGTGCTACCTCAGTTCGGCGCGAATAACCGGGCATATTTGCCACCGCCGATAGAGGAGCATATTGCGAATACTCATCACTCTGCGAAGCCTCTGGACAACGTGACATTGGCATTTTTGGCGAAGAAATTC